CATGAGGCCTCTGTCGATGGTTGAAGATGAAGGCTTCACTACAATAATCCACACTTTTAATCCGGGTTACAATAATCCACACTTTTAATCCAGGTTACAATAATCCACACTTTTAATCCAAGTTACAATAATCCACACTTTTAATCCAGGTTACAATAATCCACACTTTTAATCCAGGTTACACTCTTCCCTCAAGGACACATTTTACAAAGTAGCTACATATTGTGCAGGTATAAAGATACATTTGTATATATTTTTGTGTACATTTATTTTTGTAAGCTATTTGACTAACTTTTATTTTTTATTATTCAATATTTTACTAACAGAACAGTCAAATAGCAAACTGTTTTTTGTGCGAATTGCTACGTCAGTCAAATGTTCAATTTTGGAATAAAGGGGTGGAAATTAAAACGTGGGTTTTTTTTCCGATTCACCGATTAATCAAAAAAATAATCAGCCGATGAATCGATTATTGAAATAATCGTTAGTTGCAGCCCTAGTGTGAATGTAAGGAAGTGGACTACAGCGCAGGGCAAACAAACACACATTTCTCTTACTTCATATAGAGACGTCAGCCGCCTTGTGTGAAAAACAACATTCTCCATGGTCTTCTGCCTCATCTTCCGCTCATGCTGAGTCCATTTTTGAAAAATGACAAAATATAACTTCTAAAACCGCTAAAATTTGACGCCACTCCATTTTTGTTTTTATTTCCAGAAGAAGTGTCTTCTTCAGAGGTTTTTGTGTCGTTTCTTTCAGTAGTTCTTAGTGCAGCGCCACCACAGGCGAGTGGGGGAAACAGGTTGGTTCTAACAGGTTGGCTCGACTGCAGAGTGCAATGTGAATGCAAACGCAACAGCTCAAATGTAAACAAAATGTTATGAATATTGGTCCCCAACCGAAACAAGTCTACCAGACTATCAGGTGTGAAAACAACCTAAAGGAGGCTATCTTTTTGAAAATAAATTGTCCATCATTAAACAGGAGTGAAGGCCTCCGTGTTCAACTGTCCCCCTCGGTGTGGAGCTGTTAGATGAAGCGGTCCCGCTTGGCGTCAAATCTTTCAACTCTTATCCAAAATCCACCTTTAACTTGTTATTAAGTTGTTGTTAGCTAAGCTTTTAGCCCAGAGGAAAGGAGCGTGCCGAGGCAGCACGCATGCGCATTAGGTGAAGTTACAAAATTCACAGCAGCATCTAATGACCTGGCATGGTAACTACAGCAGATTCGGGAGGGCGGTGGGGGATTCCTCAGGATGCATGTAAACACAAAATCCGACTGGGTCAACGCAAATCTTTTCCTCTAATTAACATACAAAAAAACCTATGTTTCCCCCCATCGTGTCCATGTAAATAGGGCCTAGGTGTGGTGGCTATCTAGAAGTGTAATGAGTTAATCAGTTGTAGGTGAACAGCCACCGATTATTTTCTGAGAGTTTTCATTGGATCAGTACTTCATATAATATTTTGCTAACAGAGATATTGATGACTAACTATTAGTATCTAAGTTTTAAGCAAAAATACCGCACAATGTGTAGTGCTTAGTGTATGAGCTGAGGATGATGATCAGTGTTTCCCCTTCTGTTATCCCAGGAGGGCGCCCTGCCCTGTCAACAGAACCAAGCGCCTTGTGTATCGAAATGTCCTTCACCCCACCCCCCCACTCCCGTCAACAGTTGTCAACTTTGACGTAGCTATAAGCTAGAGACACTCATTACAGACGAGCTCCGTCTCCACCTCCCTTGTCAACAAAAAAATCCAGAAAAGATGAGTGCCCTTCTAGTGACCATGGAGAAACACTGATGATGACTGTCAGATAATTTTCAGTCAAAGGTTATGAATGTTTTTATTGTTTTATTATTGTGGCTGAGATTACATTTAACTTCTGCCCTGAGGACCAGCAGCTCGATTGTATCCCAATCATCTCAGACTGGAGGCCTGCTCGTGATGTCTCTTATGGGCCCAACATACCGAAGCAGAACAGTCGACTCTCAGTCACATGGTTGTAGAACATTCACTTTCGCACACAACTTTCATCGTTCACGAGACACAGGCTCCTGGGAAACCCCTCCCACTGCACTTTACGTGACTGCGGGGGTTTATTCCCTCCAGAGTCTCCACTCCGTCCCTGCATCCACCGTTTGGCCACAAACCTATCATGAAGAGAGCGTCACACTTTTCAGCAGACAGACTCCTCCATACACAATGTCTGCACGATCTCCACCCAGGAGGTTTTGGCCATTTGATTAATTTAGGGAGGCATGATATTATCAGCATGGTATCGGCCGATATTAGCCTTAAAGTTAAATATTGGCCATTCCATCAAAATAACTCAACAATATAAAAGACGCTGTTTTTTTATGACAACCCAGTGACAAGGATGCCTGCAGTGCCAGAACAATATGATGACATCACATGCACCTACCTGATTCGCTAGCAATAAGCAGTCTAAAACACGACTTAATCAGCTAATAAATAGCTTTTTTTTCTCATTTCAAATTGTTTCTGAACAGTTCGTGCGGAGCCTCAATTCGCTACAGAGGTGAAGTTAGTTTTACGTTGGACGTTGGACTTTCGAGCTCCGTAGCTTCAGCGGTATGCTCCTCTCGCTCGATCCGAAGCAGGCAGTCTGATTTCGGACAGCTGCATTCAGTCTGCCCCTCCTCCAAGACGTAATGGTTTGCTTAGGGACCGTCAACAAATTACCGAAGCAAACACTCTTCAGAAACAAAAATTTATATCTATTACATCATTTGACCCGCTGACAAAAAACTAATGTTAAACTACTCTAATAGACCTGACACACATGACACCATAAATTATTTCTCATTTTAAATAATTTTCTAATTAGTTATTGAACTAAAACCATAATTTTTGAATAAATAAATCTTGTAAAATTAGAAAATGCTTTAAAATGAATAATAAATGAGGGTGTCTTGTCTGTCAGGCCTAGTAGAGTAGTTTAACATAAGTTTTGTGTCAGTGGATCACATGACATGAAAATTATTGTGCAAAAACCACTGAATGTCTGATTTCTTTGTTATGTAGCTTTGAAAATTTATAAAAGTTGATACATTCATTCCAAAGCAAACTTAAAGTTGCAGTATGTAACTTTTGTAAAAATATTTTTGTAAATGTTACGTTTTTTTTTTTACATATTTGTTAAAACTGTCACTATGTCATTACAGTATAGTATAAGACAGATAATCTGTGAAAAGATTGAGCTCCAAGACTCGAGGTCTTGGTCTCGACTTGGTCTCGCCCTCCCTCAGTCTTGGTCTCGACTTGGTCTCGGACCATAAAAGTCTTGGTCTTGTCTCGGTACACTCTGGTCTTGGTCTTGACTTGGTCTCGGGTTAGGTGGTCTTGACTACAACACTGCGTTGAGCCACTTTACATTGTCCCCAGTTTGAGATATTTTTCCGACATAGCCTTACCCGAGTTACAAGCCTTCATTTCCGACATCATTGAGAAGCTAATAGCTGATAGCACGTGAGTGAGTTTTACCACAGACATTTGGACGTCAAGTGTTAGGCCCGTTGGCACGATTAGTCTTATGGCACAATGGATAGACAACAAATTTGAACTTAAAAAGGCTGTCCTTCATGCACAAGAGTGCAGAGGATCCCACACTGCAGCTAGGAACCCAAAACAAGCCTCCACAAGTGAGACAGCATTGCAGGTGACTAATGCTAATAAATAATATTTAACACTTTTCATTTAATATAAGTTAAAAGTGCTATGCATATCATATGGCTGTTACTGAATAAGTCACCAGCTCTTACAGCTGTTGCACAATTTTTGCAGCAAATAAGCCTAAATAAGAGGGCTATGTTCTGACAAAGGAAAGTATATTAAAAATATCAGTATCGGTTATTGGCCAAATAAGTTTTAGCAAATTGGCATATCGGATATCGGCCAAAAATCCAATATTGTGCATCCCTAATTTAGTGTGTTTGTTTGGTCGTGCAGCTGAATGTTCGAGCACATTTCTGTATTGACGAACACGCCCACAAACTTCTGGCCAATCACACAATACTTGGCACCTATGCCTGTGAGAAAAAGTTCAACACAAGCGAAGGCCTTGTATCGAGAAGGGGCGAGTGAAGATGCTCTGAGAACAAAATGACAATTTTTGTCATGCAACTGCGACAATGAGAGCTGATTTCAGCTTTTCAGATGGAGTATGTCAAGCCCTTTAGTATGTCGGGCCCTTTAAATGCTCATGAACCATATTTGCTTTGACAAGAGTGTTGTGGGGAAACGAGCTGCAGCTGGCTTCAGTGAACACCCACTGAACTCCACTGAGGTGCTAACGTTATAAAAGTCAGCAGATAACACTGTTCGCTGCTGATTCCACGACAATGTTCTCATACATTATGTACAGTATGTTTGTGTGTAAAACCTGTCCTGAAATCAGCCCTTGCAAGTAAAATGCTGGTAAAAAATCTTCACCTGCTGTGAGAGCGGTTCTTTTGAGTAAACAATGATGGTGATCGAGAGATTTTCTCCAACAATGATGCTCAGCTACTACCACATCAAATTTTAGCTAAACATCTGTAAAATGTTTAGACTAGTCTGTGCTTACTCTAAGTAATAAATGGCAAAGTTTTAAAAACAAATCTTGAGGTCAGAGTGTGTGGGGGGGTTTGACTCTCAGCTACTACCACTCAAAACTTTGGCTCAATATCCAAACTGTGAGTTACAGTATAACCATTTTTACGTTGGGCAATATCAGTTGACTGTGGCGGCCATCTTGAGTTGGGCTGACTCCAAAAATTATTGAGTTTCATCCCATGATGACTTTCTGACAGTTTCATCAAAATGTGAAATATTTTACTAACGCTCCAGAGAAACACATGCACCATCATGAGCAAAATCATTTAGCTTCCAGCTGCGGTCAGTAACAAACAAAACTGTAAGAAAGGCAAAGCATTTCTATCTGTAATTAAAAGTCTGTATTGAGTACCAGTGAAGAGTTGGTCATTAAAAGAGAATTACCGTGGTGAACACACTGGAGGCAGTGGACCAGGACAAACAAGGAATCAGAGGGATGGGTTTTGGCCAGTTGGTTACTGCCAGTGATGCCATCTTGATAAAGACACACAAAATATAAACTTCAGACATATCAGTTTGAACAAAAAACAAAGTTCAGTTAGCCTACAGTGATTTTGGTAAAGATAGCTCGGTTAATGAAAAACTAAAACTTTTAACTTTTAGCCATCATTCTGCTCATTTTACCTTTTAGCTTCAGTTATATATAATTACTAGTTATTATACTAATATGATATTGCCATTTTTATTAACAGTTGTGCTAATTTTAAGTTTAGCAAATGTTAGCTTTTCCATCTTCTTTTGGCTTTTCCCTCTTCAGGGGTCACCACAGCGAGCCATCCTCCTCCATTTCACTCTGTCCTCACTCCAACTACCTACATGTTCTCTCTAACTGCATCCATATATCTCCTCTTTGTCTTGTTCCTGGCAGCTGCATTTCTAATATCCTTCCACCAATATACCCACAGTCCCTCCTCCGAACATGTCCAAACCATCTCAGTCTGGCCTCTATAACTTTATCTCCCAGTTGTTCAACCTGTGCTGTACCTCTGATGATCTCATTCCTAATCTTATCCATCCTTGTCACTCCTGATATATAAGTATATATAAGTGATATATAAGTGTGATATATACTGTAAGTGCAGTCCATTTACCATTTACTCTCGTAAACTTTTCCTTTGATCTTTGCTGCCAAACTTTTCTCCATCCACTCTCGCCTGGAGTCTCTTCTTCACCTCTTTACCACACTCCCCATTTTCCTGGACAGTGGACCCCAAGTACTTGAAGTCCTGCACTTTTGTGACCTCTGCTTCTTGTAGCCTCACGTTTTCACTGGCTTCCCTCTCATTCACACATGTACTCTGTCTTACTACGGCTGACTTTCATTCCTCTTCTTTCAAGTGTACCTCCACCTCTCCAAGTTCTCTTCCACCTGTTCCTTTTTCTCACCACAGATCACAGTGTCATCTGCAAACATCATAGTACATGGGGATTCCTGCCTGACCTCATCTGTTAGTAGGTCCATTACCAGAGCAAACAAGAAGGGGCTCAGAGTTGATCCCTGATGCACTCCTCCCACCTCCACCTTGAAGCTATTTGTCACACCTACAGCAGTTTTGCTGATATTTTGCTGATTTAGAGTTGCTACCTATAGCAACCGTTTTGCTAATAATATACGTTTTGTTGACTTTAGATAAAGCTTTACTAATTTTAGCGATTGTCTTTTTTTACCTTTACCATTTGTTTTTCTAATTTTAGCATTTTTATAATTTAGTTTTTAGCTACCATTCTACCACTTTTAGCTTTAAGCTACCGTTTTGCTTTTAACTACAATTCAGCTTCTTTTAGCCACTATTCTTTGGGGTTTTTAGTTACAATTTTGTCCATTTAAGCTACTGCGTTTTTAGCTTTAGCTCTAATTGTGAACTGCTAATAATAACATTGTTATGCTGACTTTAGATACTGCTTTACTATTTTTATTTTACCATCTTCTTTGCTAATTGTAGCTACTGCTTTGCTAGTGTTAAACCATTTTGCTAATTTTAGTTGTATAAATTTTAGCCACTATTTTGCTCAATTTAGTTTAGTAGACTATTATGTTAATTTGGCTTCTTCAACAAATTTCTGCAGTCATATCATTTTAAAAGAATATTTCATAATTTGCAATAAAAATGTTATTACTACCGGTACTAGCATCTACTACTTCAAAATGTCCAAAATATCCCTTTAAAACATGTACATGAGGGTGATGAATATATTTATGACAGTTTCTCCCACAGAAGGTGTACAGGAGTGGAAACAATCTTCCTGGCAGACGGCTGTAGGTGTTTACTAACTCACATATCCTCCCATGGAGATGCCAGTCATTCCTAGGGGCCAGTAGCCTTCTCTCTCCAGCCATCGAAGAAGAGCCGTCGACTCCAAAATCAAAGCTCCGCCCATCACAAACAAGTCTGACACGTTCTTCAGACAAGACCTCCTGAAACATTCAAATATTACACTGACTGTTACCAGGACTGTGAATGATTCTCAAGTCTCAGTCCTCAGTGTAGTCAAGCAAGTTTTCATTGATTTTACTTAATAAATACATTACAACATGAATAATCATTACTCCCTCATTTCAACTGTAGTTTTGTTCAGATGAATTATTTATTTCAACTCAAAATATTTTAGATTTGAGGGTGTCAAACTCAACCAAAAGGCCAAAATCAAAAACTTAGTCCGAGCCATGGGACAGTTACCCCACATCTGTTCCTGGTTGCAGGTTCATCAACCAAAGCTTGACAGGTCTCATTTGATGTTCTCTGTTGCTCTTTCCACAACAAAAGTAAAGCTAAAAAAAAAAAATCCTACTTTTTTTTCTGGCTTCAAAGTTAGCTGTCATGCGAAGTCTGCACTAAATAAGCTAGGATAAATTTATGAGTTTTTTAAACAAAATGAGCAGCAATAAAAATATTTGACATTTAAAATATCATCTTGGGGTACAGATAATATTTGAACAAGGGTCAGAGTTGGTCTGCGAGGCTTGAGTTTGACCCATGAGCCTTCTACCATATTTACAGTAGTTTTGGTAAAATGTTAATATTCTGTCCTATTAAACAATAAAATAACAGCACACACAATTACAAAACAAACAATTAAACTTCATGCTGTAGTTTAATATGTTTTGCTTCCCAACCGGGTGGTTGTTTCCAATAAAAAAATGGAGAGAGTACAATTATAAGTTTTTGAAAGTGTATGAGAGACTCAGTTATGCAACTTGGATTTACATGCAGAATAAACAGCATGCCACTCGCAGCTAAGAGTCATTAAACCACAAGTACACAAGTCAAGTTGTTTCTGGGTTATACTGTATATATATATATATGTGTGTATATATATATATA